TATATATATATATATATATATATATATATATATATATATATATATATATATGCTGTCAACTTTTTTTTTTAATTGTTAATAAATATTTTAATAAACAAACCATATTTTAGTTTTAAATACATAAATAATTTTAAATAAATAAAGATAATAAATATATATTTTTATTTTTATATTATTTTTTTTTTTAAATTTATTATATGTTATAATTACTTTTATTATTTTATTATTATTATTTTTAATTATCATGAATCATAAGCAATTGAGTGTTTAATAAAATTCTGGGTTTTTGCCTTTGTTCATTCAAATTATGATTTCGATATGATTACATATACATATACATATATGTACACATATAACCAAATTCCTAAGTGAATTGAATGTAAAGCTATAAGACTCATTGGAGGCAGTTTTGCTTAGCTGTATGCGGGCAAAAGGTCGGCGCTTGATAAAACTCAAACCCAATGCTTAATTTCTTCATTTGCATATTCCAATTTGTAAATACAATAAAGAGCCAACGGGCCCCATAATGTGAAATATATAATAATAGCTTCAGTATAATATGAGCTTAACCTTCATGGCTAAGATTTGAAAGAAGACACTTAGCCAAGGCCAATTCAGTTCTAAATATCAAAGTTCAATTAAGAAAAACTCCAACTTAAGATAACAGAAATATATATTTAATGTTCAGTTTTAACATTTTCTTCAAAATGTTGCCCAAGTTATATTTGAGCAAAAATTTGAAGCATTTTGTTGTTTGCTTTGGTAAGTTCGTAGGAATTTGACAGAAAACATTAAGTGAAATAGAAAATCGATAAAGCAACTAAAAATGGCTACAAAAGGCTGCAAAGCAACAGCAAACAGCAAACAGCTAACAGCTAACAGCAAACAGGTAACAGCAAACAGTTTATTAACTTATTTGGCCGTAAAGTAGGTTTATGGGTAGACAAAACAAACACGCCAAATGAGTGTAGATAAACTTTAACTACCCTAGACCCGAATGAGCCAAAACAAATGGAGTTTTTCAACAGTTGCCACTCGCAGCTAGAGCCAGAGCCAGAGCCGGAGCCGCAGCCGTAGCTCAGGTCTGTTGTTCGAGTTGTTCGAGCATCCATAAGCTGGCAGAGTCGCTCGGCGTTTGGGCTTTTGGTTTTATGTGATTGCCTTTGTTTTCACTTAAATGTGCGTTAATTTATTTACCAAAGTCATTAAAAACATAACTTTTATGGCAGCTAGCGAATAACTCTCCGCCTCTGGCTCGGGCTTCACTCTGAATTAATTGCCCCCCAAATTATTGACACTTATTTCAAACAATAAAAACAAAGCAAACTCGTAGTTTGTCTGTCGATTGCGACGCTAAAAAAGTGACAAATTGTCATAAATATATTTAATTGCCATAAAATGTATTTCAATTATATACAATGATTACTAAATAAATATACAAAAAATGATATAATATATAATATTTTTTATTTGTTTTCTATTTTATTTATTTCAATATGATAAAATAAAATTTCAAATAAATAAAATTGTTATCAAATTATTAAAAAGAAAAAGAAACAAATATATAAATAAATAAATATATTATAAACTAAGTCAAATTAATATTATTATAGTATAATTAATTATTAAAAAGGAAATATAATATCATTATATATTAGGTCAAATTAATATTATTATTGTATAATTTGTTTTATTATTTAATTATTTGGCAAATAATATTTTAAATAAATGAGATTATTATCAAATAATTAAAAATCAAAAATAAATAAATATATATAAATTAAAATATTATTATACATATATAAAATCATAATAATATTATTATGGTATAATTTTTTTGCGTTTGATTTATTATTAAATATTCAAAAAAAAAAAATTTAAACAGTTAATAAATATTTGAAAACGAAATATATATATGTAGTGTAATATATTATCATACAGTGTATAGTATATTTATTTTAGTTGAACCTAGCTGCCGCGGCTTAGTGATAAGACTTCGGATTATTAAGTATTTATTTTATTTTATTTTTGTTTTTATTCGTAACTGACTCTTGACAAATGTAGATAATTTATGTGAAGTTCGCTTAGATGTAATAAATTTTAATTTTTACTAACAAGTAAGATTAACAAGTGATTTCCTGAGAAACATCAAAATCAGAGAGGTTATCTTTGCATTTCCGTATCTGTGCTCTATATATATTCTGGAAATTCAAGTTATATAATTTTTACTTATTTATAGTTTGTTTTACATATATATATAACTGATTAGCTTGGATTAGCTTGGCGTACTTATACACGATATGCCCTCGTATCCACAGCATTTTCCAACATCTATGGCCCAATCATTCTTTAATTTCGTTATTCGGGCCACTCATCAATTGTCAATTCGCAACCTTGATTACAAAATCTATTGCTCCAACAGAGGCAGTAGGAGCAGAGCGGAGACCCGCCTTTACCGAATAGCAGTGGAACTCGTACCGTCGGCCGTTATCTTCTATAATTATATAATGCATATTGTGTGTATTGTGAGCTTTTTAGATTGCATGACGCCAAACTGTGGAAAACATTTTAAGCGAACGACTTGCCAACTGGGCTGAAGAAGAAGAAGAAGCAGAAGCAGAAGCAGAAACACAGCACAGACCAACCCCATTTGGCTAGCATTGGAGCAGCGTTGACATAGTTTCTATGGCCCTCCCCCTGTGACCCATCCCGCTACTCCACCCACTCTACACTGGGCACTCGATAAGCTTCGCCTGACTCCCCTTGCATGTTCAGTGTGCATTCAGCAGGACGACAACAACAACAACAACAGCAACCACTATTATTACCGACTGTTGTCAACGCATATCCATTTTGGGCTGCATCTAGCGCCCGGCTGTTGGCTTGTTTGGGCCAGCTAAATAGCAACAAACGTCTCCTGCGACAGCTGAAGCCCGTAAAGTGGCCGAGTGGCTCCCAAGGAGTCCTCTCTCCCCCGGCTCCCAGCACATACCCCCAGCTAGGCCACCCGCCATGCATTTTTATGTAAACCAATTGTTTGTTTTGCTGGTGTGTCTCCTCCGTCCAGTGCCAGTGCCAGTCCCAGTCCCAGTCTCAGCGTCTGTTCCGTTCGTTGCCTGTCGCCGCTTTGTGCCGAGTGCCATGTGAGGGTCAGTTGGCTTCCTGGCCCGTCCGGCGGGGCGCGCTCCGGTTTCTTTGCGACGGCTCTTATCGGCATTTTGCGGTTTTCTCTTTGTTGATTTAGTGGAGCAGCCTGTTGAACTTTTCGCCTCGCTGCCGCACAAAGGACACACCCAATCCCAGTGCTCAATCGCCCGTTCCTTCCAGCGTAGAGTATTGTTTGCATTCGTGGCTTGTTATGAGTGCTCCCACTCCGGCTCTTAAGAGCGGGGCTGTATACGGGGTATATTTGCATTATTAAATTGCCGGATAATCAAATATTTTGGATTTCACGTTCCTTTCGCGTGCATATTTGAGTGGGTAATGGGTTAATATTTTATAAATATACTGGAATGGACATGCTTATTGGTGTCCGAGTTGAAACTATCCTTTACTGTTAGCTTAAATACACAATAATTTCAGTGGACAAAAAAGTAATAACTGCCCTTGTTCGAATAATTCCTTTGTTTACATTCGCATACAATTTATTTTGAATTTATATTCATTCGCTTTCTTTTTATTTCGTATCGAAATTTTATTATTTCCTTTAATTTATATTCGAAATCAATTATTTGAAATGCGAAAGACAAATAATACTGGTTCAAAAAATATTGTTTTAGCTTGTGCATTTTTTTGAAGCATACATAGGGGAAATTCAGCTTAGTTCAGCACCTGTTGTTGACACAGAAATAGCACTTTAGCTGAACTCAAAATGATTAGCCAAGGCATACAGCATTAAGACAAATCAACACATAGATGGCGCTTTATGAACATTCGATTTGTAGTTATTAAAATATGTATGTATATTGACCTGTTAAGCTAACAAATTAATAGCTAAAGTGCAAAGACAATAAAATATCGTTTGCAACCAAAATTAGAAGCTTTTATAAGCTACTCATATGTTTCAGCCATAGCGGCTTTAGCTAATACAGCAACCTACAAGAAAAATACTGGGTTTTTTGTGTATTGGCTAGCCAAACAAATGTATTTATTTCAAATTATGTATTTTGTTCATACACCTTTTTATTATAATTATAGCACAAATGTCGGATCTGCCAGTCGTGATACTGCTGTGCATTTCTAGAATTGTAGGGTATCTTCTTGCAGCAGCTCTGCTGGTGGCGCCTCACGTACATATCGGTTAATCGGCCTGAAGGTGGGTCTCGGCAGATATGGAGGTCGCTCATAGTCAGCTGCTCGTGCAATCCGAATAGGCCTGAAGGTGGGTCTGGGCAGGTATGGAGGTCGCTCATAGCCAGCCGCTCGTGCAATTCGGTGAACCGGCCTAAAGGTGGGTCTGGGCCGATATGGTGGCCTCTCGTAGCCAGCCATTGCCATGGCGCACATCGAGACGAGCAGCAAAATAATTGTGAACTTCATGTTGGTTCGATTGACAATGTTGGATTGATGCTGTTCGATTGAGTTAAGGCTGCTTTTATAGCAACGTGCTGCAGGTGCTGCACTGAGCTACTGCGTCGGTACTTTTTTTTGCGAAGCATGGGGACTTACATAGGGGGAAATCTGTACATGTATGTGACCTGATAGAGTAATTGCTCAGTTGGTCCGTTTAACAAGACAAGTCGAGGTGTGTTATCAGTGCTTGTTGGCTGAGTTGACTCGAGCTTAAGGGGAATTTTTTTTACTTACGTGCTTTTGGCATGGGTCTCAAAATGTATGTGTAAAATTAAATTGGACATGCTTTAAAAGAATTGTTGATTGGAAATTGAAAAATATATATTTTTTAAATTAAAAAACAAAGTATTTAAAATAGGTTTATAATGGAATCTATATAGAACGAAAGCATCATCTTGATCAAGGAAAACAACAGATTCAATTGTGTTTTTTTTATCCAACATACATTGGCATTTATTTAGTATTTTTGTTGTTGATTTGCTTGAATTTTATGACACTGAAACAGACAAATTTGTATTCGCTTGCTGAATGTATGTAAGTGTGTGTGTGTGGTAAATTTTATATATGTATTTGTGTGTTAAGTACTTTGGTTATTATTGTTGTCAAATGTCTTTAGTGCTATGGAGATATAAGCTGTGTGTTTGTGTGTGTGGTAGGGTATTTGTAGGTGTCTCTGTATATGTGTGCGTGTGTTAGTGTTGTGTTTGCTTGTCAATTCAATACATTCAATATTAATATATAGTTAATACATATATATATGTTTTTCATAATTTGTAATTAGTAATACACATATTTGAAGTATTCGTTTAGGTTTTACGAGTTTGAATCTTTGGATATTTTTGCATCGCTGCCCATACTATAATATATGTGTATATATGTATATATACGAGTAATATTTGATCGGCTAAGAGGGAGCGAGTGATTAGTAATGCGTTTAAACTGCTTTGCCTTAATCTATAAATGTTTCATATTTGAAATCTCTTTTAATTTGCATTCGAATTTTTCGCTTAGTTTTTTTGTTTGTGTTCTCAATTTATCAATTTCTCAATTTGATGTGCGTTGAAGTTGAATGTTTTCCATTGTGTGTAGATGTATGTTTTTTTCGCTTAAATGCAAATGGAATTTAATTTTGATTTATGCGTTTGTTTTAAGTAATGTTAAGTAGAAAATTAGTTTAATTTATGTGTTTGTTTTTTATGCATGTTTTATGCTAAATTATGACAAATTGGGCTTATAGAATATTTATTATTTGCTGTCCTTGTCAAGCAACATAAAAAGCAAGCTCTGCTGCTTTATGGCAGACGGGTTCCAATATATGCATGATATATGTATGTATGTGTATATGATATATATATTTGTATGTATGTATATGAAAAATGGATGATTTTATTTTGAATAATTGCTTAGCTTACTTTTTTCTTTTCTTTAGCGAATGTCGAAAGATTTAATTTTTGATTTTGATTTGCCGAAAAGTTATTTTTGTTTTTATTAAATTTGGGAATCCAAAACTTTTCGTATTTTTTGTTGCTATTTGAATTACTTGAAAATTTGTGAGTTTTTTTTTATTATTATTATTTTTTTTTGTATATCGTATTAATTGTAATATTAATTAAATGCCATTTGTCTAAACGCTATTCAATATTTGTAGTTCGTTTACCATCAAAATTTGTAGTACATTCATATAAGTTTCCCATAATATATATATATATATATGTATGTTTTTAAGCAATATTATCGTTCACAACACTACATTCATATATATATAAAATCGATATAGCTAAGGATAGTAGGGCGTATTATAGAGTGTATCAATAATAATCGAAATGAGATGCAAACGAAATAATAGCTAATCAAAATAGACGATCTAGATAAGCGGTTATACATATAGATCAATTGTGAGCCACCTCAAATGCTTTGCTATTTCTAAGTCTTGAGCAAGTGTTATTTTCGTTCGTACGGTTTTTAAACTCTGATAAAAATCCATAGATTCTTTGTTAAGCATTTTATTTCATTCACATAAATTTGCATAGTTCAGTCAGTCTTTGAGTGTCGAAAGTGGCTGCACAACTTACCAAAACTAAAAAAAAAAGCTGAAATAAATGTAAAATAAAATAAATAAAAAGATTCCTTTAAATAAATTTGCATTTTTATATTTGGCAAACAAATTTGCTGCGATACTTAAAAATAATAATAAAATCTTAAATAAATATTTGACAGAATTTAGTTTGAGTTCGTCTTAAAGCTTGCGGTGCAGAAACCAACTGTAAATAAATAATATTTAAATAGGCAAAAGGTGCGCTTGGGTCTGTTGTATAATACAATTTAGAGTTGCTGACTAAATGGTTAAACATCTGCATAGATAAATGCAATTTGTGCTTGAACAAATTTTACATTAATTATCTGTTTTGTGGAAGCGCTTTGAAACGAAAAATATAAATAAAAGTACAAAGAATGGTAAATATATTGTTGGATCGATACAAATAATTATAAAATCGATTACCAATGCTAAAAATTATGATCACAAATAATCTGTTTAAGCGCGCAAGCGACTATAGGATTTGCAGACCATTCAAAATTAAACAATATCTATCATTATGACTTTGACTTAGAGGCTACATATAGATGGCAAAGAAATCAAATTGAAAATAAAAATACAAACAAACTTATGAGCTACACACACAGACAAGAGCACATACATATATACATATATAAGTATATATATATATATATATATATATATATATATAGTGCTTGTGTATTGGGCCGATGTATGCGCCCTTTTCTTCTTTGATATTTTGGTAGTTCTGCTTATAGTTAAAAAATACAATATTAAAAGTTAATTTCAATTATGCAAATTGAATTGAATATTTTTGTTTCGTTTTTCTTCTTCTTTTTCTTTTCCCTTTTTTTTACGTAAATGCAAAATTGTTTTGCATATTTATGTTTTCTTTTTTATAAATATTTGAAATAGTTAATATATTTATGTATGTTTGTGTGTGTGTATATTGTGTGTATGTGTGCGCCTTATGCGCTTTGCTTACTTCCTCTGTGATGTTTTTCGTTTTACTCAAATAAGACTTGCAACACACGCACGCATATGTATGTGTGTTGGTGTGTTTGTGTCATTCAACTTCCACGCACTTCATTGACTTGAAACACTAAGCTAAACTGCCACGCCCACTGGGAGTAGCTTACAAATTACACTGCCATAGTATCGTAGGCTGTGAATCCTGCGCCATTTGCTTGTTGGAGTTGGAGTTGTTTTGGGCCGGCTTCGTTTCTGCGGATAGCGAGGGGACACATTTTAGGCAAGAGCACAATATAAATAGAAATATATATATATAGAATATATATGTATGTGTGGTATATAATTAATGATTATTTTGCTTAGGCTTGTCTCGTGCCGAGAGCTTGTGGCAGCTGGCACAAGTACATATATAGCATAGTATTTAGATATGTGTTAAGTATGGTTAAAGCCTGTTGATTAATATACATAATACATATATTTATATAGTAGTTATGTAATTGAAATTCGTTTTTCGAAATGATAAATGCTTTTGTGTGTGTTTATTTTTCAGTACACTCGGCAACACTCAACTGTGATTTGCTTTCAATTAACAGAATTCAACTCAAGGAAAACAATTCATATAATAATACAAAAAGACAATAAATAACAGTTAGAGCTAAACAGGGGGGAGGTTTGGATTAGGTTTGGGCATGCGTACTTCACATTTAGTGTTAATTGCGACCAGAGAACATGCAAAAGCGAATCACTTAACTGCGAGTTTTAGTTTGAAACTTACAACTGCCTGCGACTACGTAGTCAGTGAGTTATTTAAAGTTTTTAGTTTTTATTTTGTATTTATTAAACGAAAAAAAGGTACAGAAATGATCAGTGTTAGTAGTTGCATCAAGTATAAATAAGTATCTGCTTATTACCTTAAACAAAAAAATTGCACAGAAATTTGGGGCAACTGCCCTTTGGAGGTAATGAAAATTCTGATGGGAATTTATGAAATCTGATTGGAATATTTGGCATATAATTTTTTACTGTAGAGAACAGCATTATTATACAAATATTTAAGCAGATGTGAGAATTTTTATAAATTTATTATAAGATCATTTAGCATCTTTGGTATACCTCAAGTTAAAATTAAATGTATGAGGGCTTTATTAAGTTTTACTTTGTTTCTTCTTTATTTAAATATATATATTTTTTTTCTATTAGCTGCAAAGAGCGGAATATATTCTGGTAGAGTATACAATAGAGAATATACATATAAAAAAAATCTCTGGCTGATTTAAAGGAGTTTATGAAATGATTTTAGAGATGAGTTCATTGGAATAGTTTCTTCTCTTATCTTATATATGTATTCCCTTTAATTTTTAGTATTTGTTGATGTCTTCTATTATATTTTAATGTATTCTATATTAAATTCAACGATGCAAATTTTCTGTGCAATTTTATTTAGCTCAGCATTGGTTAAACCAATTTAATAGCTATGTGATTTTCGTTATAGTTTCTATATACAATACTCTATTCTTACCTCTCGATTAATTTACGCATTTCTTCGGTGGTGCGTTGATCTTTCGGTTGTGGAGATCTTTTTACAGCTGTTTATTTTCGTTTATTATATATTATTGTTTTTAATAAATAATTATCATTTAAGAACCCCAAGAAATTGAGCACAACCGTTAAGTAGTTGTTTATGGTAAATTGGTTTTAAATATCATAAAATCAAAAGAGAAAATAGAAAGAAAACGCAAAATGAAATTTGAAATTAAACTTTTCTTATACGTAATGTGAGAAGATCGTGCAAAAATGATTGTAAATTCCTGTAAAGTCCAGGAAAATATATTGCTCTAAATTCTTTCTGCTTATATAACTAACTTATTGTTCGTAAAAACCATTAGAGAAACAAAAAACTAGATTTCTAGTCGGACACATGCGAAATTCTATACACATGATATGAAATGAGAGATTTCATGATAAATAATTGTTATTAAAATTATATTTAAATCCGATATTAGATACAAATTATTAACATAAAACATTGACATTGTTGGTGCTGGAAAGGAAACCCTTAAAAAATGTGGTCGGTGCGACTTATGAAATGAAATGGAAGTTATTTAATTGTGCATTAACAAACTCATATTAAAACTTAACAACCAAAACCAAAATTAATATTATCAACACAAAAATAACATATAAAAAAAAAAATTAAAATTTATATTTTTCTCTTTTGAAATATTAGCAAAACACAGCATGAATATTTATTGCGAACTTTCTGTGGAATAATTCATGAATGACAATGAAGGAGGTATGAAGAATGAGCACATTCCTGATATGAGATCGAGAGGGAGCCTGACGACGAACGACGAGGGCGAATGAGGACGAATGAGGTGAGTTGTGAGTGAAGTGAGGATTGAATTGAAAATTCACTCTACACACTAAAGTTAAGTTCGATTTGCGATTGGGGTTCACATCACTCACCATCATTGGCGTCTTCTGATCGTTATTAATATTCGAATGTTAAATGAATTTTGAAAGAAGGGAAATTAAGAACAATTCGAATGATTTGCGTTAAAAATGAATACACTTTCAATAGAGCTTCGTGGAAATATTAATTGGAATATAGATGGAATATCTTAAGCTGCAGCTACGTTTCGATTGGGGGATCAATTGGTATGGGCTGGGATGGGAGACTCTGACTTACCGCCATAGTTGCCGCGTGGTCCATGATCGCGATCGCATTCGGCCTCTGAGATCTCATTGCTCTCCTTAGAGTCGTTGAACGAGGAGTTGCTCATGTCGTGATTACGTGGCGGTGGTGGAGGTGGCTCAGGTGAGCCATTGCCTGGATTGCGTGCAGAACCTGACACATATTTGGAATAGAAATTATTGGTATACCTAAATATTGTATCTCTATTGTATTTACCAATGCTGCGACGTCCCATGGAGCCGCGAGATCCATAGTGATCGTAGGGCTGTCCATAGGGGCCGCCATACTGAGAGCCGTACTGATCCTCCTCGGGAGCGCAATTGGCGGGATCATCATATTCGGGTCCGGGGCCAGAGTACAAGCTGCCGCCTTGAGAGTTGACGCGAGTGTAACGACGCTGTGGGATCGCAAAGAGAGGGAGAGAGAGAGAGAGAGTTGAGATATGGACAGAGAGAAGGAATTAAAGACTGTTTAAAGTACTTATACGATAATCTTACATATTGATCTTCCTCGGCACAGTTGGCGGGATCATCATATTCGGGTGCGGGAGTATAGATCGAGGACTGTCCACCTTGGCTGTTCTTGCGCTGATAGCGATTGGCACGTGGCATGGACTGAGAGCCGGAGCGGGAGTGTACGTGTCCAGGGTGGCCAGGGGGCAGCATGGTGCCGGCGTGTCCGGGCACGGGTGTGTGTCCATTCTGATGGGGGAAGGTCTGGAAGTTCATGGCCTTGGTGGGATCCATTTCCTCACGGAAGCCGAGCAAATGGAACGTAGCATAGGGGCAGATTTCATCTTCCATGCCTTTGGCGAGAGGAGAGCTCGATTAGCAACGTTTACTCAAACACTCGGTGGTGCTTTGTGGGTGTCTTGGTTTGTTTGTTTTAGTGTTTTAGTACGAGGCAGAGAGAGAGAGAGAGAGAGTGGCCTGGCCCGAATTGCTTTACTTACGATGCAGTAGCTGAGACAGCGTCAGTTCGATGCGACCGGGGTTAGACTAGTCGGAATGTTAGTGGACTTAAACATAAATGAAATCTTAAGTAAAAAGTTAAACTGGCCTGGGGTTAGATGTTAGTCGTAATCGGAATTGCATACAGAAATCAGAAGAGGTTAACCAACTGAAAAGGGGAGGGGCGGGGCGAGGCCTCCTACCTGGATGTCTATAGTGGCACTCGGGAGTGCCGTGGGCGTGGCCGTAGTGATTGCCAATGCCGTGCATGGGCACTGGCGGGGCTTTCAGCTCCTCGTATAGGTTCGGGTTACGGCGCGGATCCCAAGTCGAGTGGTTCGAGCGCAGGCCTGAGCCGCGGCCTGAACCGATTCGTGTACGTTCGTATGTGTATGTGTGTTTGAGTATGTGTATGTATTGGTGTTTTCATATTTTATTCAATTTCCAATATTCATACAACATCAACGATGAGTGAACAGAAAAGTCAAAGAATCGATTCAACGGCAACCGAAAAGGAGAGGATTCGGAGTAATGTGGGGGAAAAAAAAAGAGTTAAAATTATTTGTGAAATAAGACAATAAAAATAAAAAACAATCAAAATCTAAATTCAGCACAACATTTAGTAATACGAGTCTTCGTTTCAGATCGGATGGGTTCGAAAATCATAAGAAGCGAATTTAAGAAGCGACATTTGAGAATTTCGTTCTGAGAAAGCGTTGCAATGTGTTCGTAAGTGTGTATGTGTGTGGGCGTGGCACACGACCTTTGGGTCGTTCATTGTTTCATTGTGAATGCAAAAGCAACGCAAAATATGAAGTATTTTTTCTTTTTTTTCTCATTTTTTCACTTTCATTTTGTGAGCAAAGTAAATGGAAGACAAAAATAAGCCTCAGCCAATGCGCAGTGAGTGCCCCAGGCGAGACGGTGCTCGGGTGCTTCGCTGGCATAGTCCTGGCATTAATAAATGTTGCATTGGAAATTTAGATGCTTACTTATGACTGTACCTCGCTTAATCCGGTCGCAGGTGTTGTAGTTGGAGCCGGGCACCGGGGGCAGCTTGCGGTTGGGTGGGGCAATGTAGCCAAGTTCGTCGCGCAGGTCCGGGCGGCGCTTGTCCAGGGTGGCGCCGGGTCCCATTGTCTGATTGTAAACTACATCGTCTAGAATTAATATATGATATCGCGAACTCAATAGTGAAACACTGAAGATGCTTTTCCTCTTGAATGCTGCTCAAAGGTCAACTCAACGCATACTTTACTTCTGTTTTTTGTTCATTTACTTATAGATCGTATCAATCAGCTTTCTTCCGTCACTCACAATATTTGGCTTTTAAAATAAATTTTAATTTTTTTTTTTTTTTGGTGCGGCATCTCAACACGCTAAAGTGCTAATTAGTAGCTCAAAGTTTACGATTGCAAAAACAGAATTACGTGAGGTGTTTCATTATAATTATTATTAATTTTAATTTTTTTTTAAATTTCAAAATATACCAACTTGTTAGCGATATAAAAATTCATGATATAATGACATGAAATGAGAGATGATTTCAATTTCGAGTTCGAATTGACTTTACGTTACTTTACTTTAGCATTATTCTATTCATTTGCGATTTCAAAAAGCATCTTAGTTTTGGTTTCATTTGAAAACAGAAACAGAAAAGTGTGGAAAATAAATGTTGACAGAAAGTTGAGATGGGAAAATTGTGTCTGTTGTGTTCGGAGGAGTTTCAAAGTTGCTTAGGGCGTAAGCCGAACGTATTTACAACACTTGATATTACTATAGGATAATTATTTATTGTGTATATTGTGTGATAGGTTATTATTTACTTGGATAAGAACACAAAAGTAGAAGATTTCTCGGATTAATCAAATCTAAAAGACATCGCAACAAATGTTTTTATTTTTTATACAAATTAATTTTCCAATTTGATTTGTAGATGGAGATGGAAAATTTAATGATAGTTCTGATATGAATATTATAGATATATGAATGATATATATGATATATATGAGTATCACATATGATATGAGTATTATAGTATATGAATTTACTAAATATATATATACACTGAACACATATTTAATATTATATATATTTAATTGGTATTTTGTTGGTATATTTTTGTGAAACTTTTTGGTATTTTTTTGTTTTTATGGTGAGTGTTTCTTTGAGTTCGTGTTTGCTGTAGTCTGAATAACTTGAGTAGATTATATAACATGCTATGAATATTTGATACGATTATTAGACATTGAGCATTCCAGTAAATTGTAGAGTTTTTACCAGTATTTTTGCTGAGTGACGGTCTAAGAATTATGCGTTCTCATTGCTGATATTGAGCGCGTTAATCAATAAGAAATCAACAAATATAATTCAAATCAAATGCGCAGCAATATACAACAGTTTGGGAACAACACTAAATATATATATATAAAACAGAAATAAAATTTGTCGAAAATAATATATGTATATAGATGATATTTATGATAAGAAAAATAAGTATTGCGCTCCTCTGCCCTAGCGGACTGAGGGCAAACCTACAATAGACATCCTTCTGGCCGCCGCGCAGATCGTCCGCTCGCCGGCGCGAGAGCGCCACGCAGACCACGCAGATGCCCACGGCAACCACCACGACGGTGGCTATCAGCGGCACCATGAAGTTCAGATCCAGCCACTCGGGCATCCAGGCGGGCAGCGGAATGCGGGCATGGACATTGCCATGGCCCGTGCCATCATCGAGGGGCGCGATGGTGCCTTGATTTCGTTCGGATTCGATAGATATACGATAAACGAGCATGCAAATCGTTTATCAGATACAACAACAGACAGCAGGCAGTTGCATAGCCACGATATTGTTTGGTTTTGTTGTATACGTATATATAGATAGATAGACATTGGTGTGTGTGTGTGTATTTACACATATAGAGTATGGAAAATGTATAGTGTTCGGGGTTCATGTAGAGACAGAGTTCGAGAGAGAGAGAGAGTGAGAGCGAGATAGTGGAACCGAAAAAAAAAAGAAAAGAAATTTCGTAATTAGTTTGATATACTTATAGATACCTTTGTGGTGATTGCCTTTGCTACGCAGTATACAAATAACAATTATCGCTATGATTATGACGAGCAGAGCCGCCACGACCGGCACTACTAAATTTAGGTTCGATAGAATAATGCGGATTGTATCCTCGGCGGTTAATTCGGGTAAATCACGCGAGGGTGCGATAGTGCCTGCAACAACAACAACAACAACCAAAGTGTTTCACATGTAGACCAAGTTCGGAGGGGGTGGGTGTGGGAGAGAGAGAGAGAGAGACATTTATATATATGTATAGATAGATGTGTGTATGTATTGGTGTAGGCATGTATATAAAGAGAGAAAAGATGCTGATTGAGAGGGACAGAGGCACCTGAAAGGCACAACAGATCAAGCTAAGAGAGAGAAATAGAGAGAGAGAGACAGAACGATTTCTCCCTCTCTCTCTCCCTTTCTCTCTGCTTCTATGTCTGTCTCTGCCTTTTGCCTTCCCTCTCACATCACATTGACTTTTGTACCCAGACACTAGTCGAGCACTTGACACACATATACAAATACATAGACAAATACAAATACAAATTAGTAACTTTGCTTTGAGTCGATTTCGAAAGAGAAGTGTTTCTTGAGAAGAGAATGTAAATGACTTAAAAAATTCATTAAATATTATTAAATTTTGTATTTTACAATGCGCCGAAATGCGAAAACTATTTGTAACTATTTTAGTAAAAACTTTAATTGTAATTTGTAAGAAAAAATAACAATATTATTTTTTAGTACGTTTAAATGCAATTTGTTTTTTTTTAAGTATTTTTTTTTTATCTGTAAACTCTTAAGTCTAATTGAGTAAATTGTTGTTAATGCTATGAGTATTCGAAACGCTAACGAATTCAATTTAAAGCATTCCAAGTGTAACAGCTTTCGAGAATATGATAGGAGAGTAACGATTAACGATTAACGATTAACGTGTAACGATTAACGATAACGATATTCGCGAGAAGAGATAACTTTGAAATAATAGTTGCAAAAACACTAACTAACTTAGGCGGAACAACTCAACTGGAACTTGATGACACTAAATGAACGAAATTGTGAAACGAAAAATGAAAACGACTTTTGGTGTAATGAATGCACAGATGCATATAATGTCTGTTTCTTCTTCTTCTTCTTCATCAACTCCATTCATCACTTGATCTCAGCTCTCATGTGAACTTACTGAAAATGTTGCATTGATGGATCTTTGGTTGTTGTGCTTTCGAAAATGTGTGCGCTTTGGCTCTGCTCGGCTCTCAACTTGAGTTTTATAAAAAGTTTTTATTTTGTTTTTGGTTTTTTGTTTATTAGGTGAAAAGAGCATTTTACTATTGTTAAAATCAAACGAAATACAACTAAATTTTACATTGAAAAATGAAATGAAAATCAAATCAAAATAAGCTCAAAATGCATGAAAACAAGTTGAATAAATTTGTGTTCAGTTCAGTGGACAAGTTTTTGTACAATTGGAATCTGATTGGAATTCGAGTTGATGGATCCATGAATATACGATATTCCATATATGTATGTAACTTGCTTTTGGCTGCAGAAAGAATGGATTATTTAGGACTTGTGGGCTAGAAGCGATTTACAGAATTCGGAATTTGATTTAAGCGTCTTCTACGAGCAGCGGAGGGCGGAGGGGAGCGACTGGCAGTGGGTGGGCTTACAACATCGATCGGTAGCTATGGCTGTGCAGCAACAATGCACCTTGACGCCAAGACTGGACACATAAATGATATCTATGTATGCATAAACTCAAATGATATAAACGAGTGAAGTGAACGGAAGAGTCAAAAAGTAACTCAAATAATACTAATCAGAGCTGTGGCCGTCTATAGAGCTACGTTAGATTGGAAATTATGATAAGAGAACTGAGGAAATCATAATCAAAGGTGACGTGGTGATAATTGTTTAAAACTATTTATAGAACATTACTGTTAGGATTTTAGCAACTTTGCATTTGCTATTCGCTGGGAGTTTTGTACATATATTGAGAGTATACGATTAATTGGTGTATAAGAACGTAAAAAACAAATTGCATTTACGCAATAAAAACATCGTTTTTGTTTTTGTCTTTGTACAACGTTTTCCGATGCCGCTGCGATCAAAGTTTTTAGCATTTCATCACAATTGCAATAGATACAAAATAAAGACATCTAATTTTGGTACAACAAGCTTTTTGACAACTTAAAACGTTTGCTAATAAATAAATGAAGACATTGAATTACGGTGCAATTGGTAAACAAAATGAAAATCAAAATCGAAATTTGCTCATTTTCAGTTGTTGGTGAACTAAAAACATTTACAACTCAGGGAAAGTGTTTATGCCTAGATTGTTATTTGTATATATGGACAATGCTGTTGGGATGTAGGGCGCGACTGGGGGGGCCAACAATCCAACAACATTGTCAACGTAGTTTTCTATGTACAAAAGCAATGTGAGACATTCGAAAATCGGAAAACAGATCATAAATACCTCCGGTCACAGTCAGCGTGGCGAAATCGTATTCGGCAACGGTGAAGCCAGCCGAGTTGTGGGCGGTGATGCGCAGATTGTACCAGGTGGCGGGCTCCAGATCGAGTACGACGTAGTTGTTGTCGGGCTTCACATTGTTCGAGATTTGATTCCATTCCAATTGATCACTGCAAGCAGAAAAGAAAAACTTTTGGCGTTACGTCTCTGTGGATTTTCTGGGCTCTCCCAGCAGCTACCGTTTCTTGCTCTCTACGACAAAGTGGGACATGGGGCAGCCGCCATCTTTCCAGGCCTTGAAGTGCAGCGAAACGGAATTGGATGAGACCTCAATGAAACGTGGCTTCTCTGGCAGTTTGGGCTTCTGGCCCTTGGTGCGTGTGTTCAGAATGTCGGACGCTTCGCCAGCGCCAATGCTAAAAAGACAAAGTGAGAAATCAAGTTAGCTTATAGCATTCGCTTTTTCTTCTTCTTCTTGGGTTTACTCACTTATTGAAGCCAGTGGCATAGACCTGATAACGTGAGCCGCACAGCAGATTCTCAATGTTGTACTTCTGTGATTCGACAGAGACCTCAGCAGTCTCCCACTCTCCGAATTCTGTGAATAAAAGAAATAGTTATAAATTCAGTTTTATGTAAATTGAATTGAGTTGTCAAAGCCAGCAAAAAAAAAAAATAATAATAATAATAATAATATAAATAAACAAAAAAATGATAATACAATAAATAAAATTAAATAAAAAATAAAAATGAAAAGCTAATATATTAAAATAATATAATTAAATAAATAAAAAATAAAAATAAAATAAATAGTAAAAATGAAAAAATAATATATTAAAATAAATAAAAAATAAAAATAAAAATATGTTCAATATATTAATTAAATTGAAATATTAAATATTAAAGAAAATAATATTAATCATCATAATAATTATAATAATAAATAAAAATGAAATAAATAATAAAAATGAATTATTAATATAATAAAAAAAAATATGTATAATAAAAAAAAAAATAAAAATAAAATTAAATATATATATTAATTAAATTAAATTATATATATTAATTAAATTGAAATATTAAAGCTGACAGAAAATAATGATTTATGCTTGCCGCAACAGATAAATTATTATTTTGATTAAATTAGGAAAAGCAAAGTTTTTGAATAAACGATATGATAATAATTAAGAATTTATATATATTATATATTTATTATTAATTAAATTAAATTTTTAAAGTTAGCAGAAAACTGGTTTAATAACATTTTCAGCTCGCTTTAAAAAAATAAGTTATTTAATTAATATATAAATTTATAAAATACAAAATGTTAAATATTATTATTTGTTAGCTGCCAGCTTTAAAACCCTAATTTAAATAAATTATATATGAATATAAAAATTAAATTGAATAAAAAATAAAAATTATATTAAGCCTAAAGTTCTTTATAATCTCTGTTAACCTGGCTTGTAGTGCAAGGTGTAGCCGTGCAGTGGTGCCGTGTCGCCCTCATGTGGCTTCAAGCGAACGGTCAAAGTGTCGGTGGTGGTGGCCGAGAGGGTGACCTGTGGCGACTGGGGTGGTGCCAGAACGATGAGCTTGTGGGTAATCGAGTCCTTGGCAATGGAGTTCTCGGCATGGCATGTGTAGTCGCCGGCATCCTGGCGATTCACAGACTTGATCAAGAGCGAGCCATCGGGCAGCAGGCGCATGCGGTCGTTGGCACTGAAGTCGACGCCCTTGATCTTCCAGGTGATCTCGGGCTGGGGGGCGCCAACGGCTTGGCAGGGCATCTTGGCATCCTCCTTGTAGGTGGCAGTGAATGTGTCGTCGAACGAGGCTATCTTGGCCGGCACCTGGTCGCTGGGCATGGCCACAATGCTCTTGGACTGCTGGCCCTCGCCAATGGTGGTGCTGGCAGTCACCCAGAACTCGTAGGGCTTGTTCTTTTCCAGCTCGGTGGCCTCGAAGCTCATCTGGTAGTGTGGCACCTTCTGGGTCTTGGTTTCAGTCTCAGCGCCTTCGGCCTTCGAGTAGACAGTGTACTGGGTGATGATGCCGTTGGGCTGTGCTGGCGGGCGCCACGAGACCAAAATGGCGGCGTTGCCCATAACCAGGGCCTTGACATCGGTGGGTGCTTCGGGAACTGTGGAACGAGAGATAGGCGTAAGAGGAGGGCGCTCAGCATGGCTGGGATTCTGGCTTACCATCAGGTTCGGTCTGGCAGTGAATGGGCACGCTGCGAACTCCATCGCCTCCGGCTGTGGTGGCCAGGACTTGCATGGTGTAGTTGGTGTACTTCTTCAGGCCATGGAGCACAGTGTCGGAGGAGGCAGTCTTCTTGTAATGGCGCTTGGTCTCATCTGCAACAGGCGTATATCAGTGGCGATTCATAACTCGACAGAGTTGCGGGCTCTACTTACCGTACCACTCGTCGCTGGGGGCATAGACCACCTTGTAGGTCTTGATCACGCCATTGGCCGACTCGAGTGGGGGGCTGACCCAGCTGACGCGAATGGTCTGGGAGGTCAGAGTGGTGCAGGCAGTGTCGCTGGGTGGCTGGCTGGGTGTGCCTTCGGCAGTGAATTGTTTCTCCTCGTCGCTCAATGGGCCGGCGCCGATCTTATTGAAGGCCTGAATCACCACCGAGTACTGAGTGTAGACGCGCAGATTGTTCAGCTCCAGGCTGTGCTCCTTGCCCTCCTCGGTGATGAAGTTGATCGTCTCGAAGATGTAGGACGAGTTGGTGTTGGATAGCTTGTAGCCGACATAGTAGCCCAGAATCTCGCCGTTCCAGTCGGAGCGTGGTGGTGGCTTCCACATGACGCGCAGGGTGGTCTGGTTGACGGGATCGACCTTGATGTTCTGTGGCTTGCCCGACGGTGCCTCTTCGGCGGTGATGATGGTGACGGCTTCCGATGACTGCGAGGAGCCAATCTCATTCTCGGCAACGATGCGAATGTTGTAGGTGGTGGCGGGACTCAGTTTCTGTACTTGGGCCTCGGTGGTGTGGCCGGGCACCATCACGCGATCGATCTCATCCCAGGAGGCGCGCGAGCGCTTGAACTCAATGATGTAGCGAATCAGTGGGGAGTTGCCGTCGTAGGGTTGGGCCCAGCTCAGCTGCACTGAGCGACCGGACTTGTCCAGCACCTTCAGGGCGTACGGCATCTCGGGCACCTCCTGCACAATCATATTGATGCTGGCATCGTCGGAGCCAAAGGCATTGGTGGCCACGCAGGTGAACAGAGCCGAGTCGGAGCGTTCGGTGCGCTTGATCGAGAGACTTGACATCACGCCAGCCGATAGTATTTCCTCGCGAATGGTGTAGCGATTGTCGTTCTTGGGGTCCAGTCGCATGTTGTTCATGTTCCACAAGATGCCAATGGGTTTCTCGCCCTTCGCCTCGCACTGCAGCACAGCTGGTTCGCCGCGGCGTGCCGTCTGATTGCGCAGCTTCTCGGTGAACTCTGGTGGCGCCTGCACACTGACCATGATCACAGCCGACAGACCCGATCCGATGCCATTGATGGCCTCGCACAGATAGTAGCCCTCGTTGGTCTTCTGTATGTTGTCAATGTGCAGAGTGCCCTCCTCCACGCGGATGTTGTCGCTCTTCTTCAGATCCTTGTACTCGCCGGGTGTGTCGCCTGACGAACATTGCAATTATATAAATGAGCTCTAGTTTTCCTTATTCAGCTATCTCTTTCTTACCAACTGCTTTCTTCCATGTCACCTGGGGCTTGGGGAAACCGTCAGCTTTGCATTCAACCTTGGCATCGGAGCCCTGGGCGAAGGCTTTGTCTGTGGGCTCGAGTATCCATCTGGGTGGCACTGTTGTTGTAGTTGTTGTTGTTGTGATTGTATAAAAAATAATATATTAGTAAATTTGTGGCGGGTTCTTTACTAAAATATAACATTTAGCATGCGGCAAAGTTTTATTTTTAAGCGGATGGACGGACTTTGTTCAAATTGAAATGTTTTCCATGTCTTATATATATTTTTTCCAACGTTTCAATTTCAACTTAGTGGAAACATTTATAAAATATGCACAAGTTGAGATTTTTGTATAATTAATTTGCAATATACATATATGTATTTATATAATTTTAGTTTTTTAATTAACTAATATATATTTTTTTTTAATTTTATTATATAAACATAAGTTTTAAAAATTAAATAAAAATCACAGATAATTTTATAATTAAAAGTTCATTTTAATATTAATTTTATTTTATTGTAATTTTTAATTATTTTTTTTTTAAATTGATAATTAATTTTTATTAAATAAATCTAATATTTAAAAAATTTTAAAGAAATGCCCAAAAGATAGATTATTTTTATAATTGCTTTATATAATTTCAATAAATGTTTTTATATACTTTTCTTTTTTTAGTTATTTTTTAATTTTATATATATAATTTAAAAATTTTTAAATAAAAGCACAAATAAATTTTTAATTAATTGATTATATTAATTGTTTCTTTTTATGTAATTTTAATAATTTTATTATAAATGTTTCCACCATTTACTTAAGTTTTATTATAACCAAAAAAGCCAAACTACAACCAAAGAATATTAGCACAATTAATAAACAGAAATATTAAAGGACAACTGAAAGGGGAATTTTAATTAAATAATTAGTAATTAACGAAAAGTTAAAGAACATGCAATTTGTGCAAAACGAAGTGCGATTTCCTTTTGTATTTCTTTGCATTGATTTTGTTTGATTCAAATCGACTTCGCTTCGTGCCTTATGAACTAGGTAAATAATAGAATTGAATGGAAATGAAAGTAATTAAAGTTGGGGATATTCAGGATGGGGACGGGATGGTAGTTGCTGTTGTTGTCGGTAGGGGACGTAGCGGGGTCTTGTGTATCGCTGGAGCGCACAAATGTTGTTTCATTTTAGCTGCTGGGAAAGCGAACGGATTCTGACATCACAGTGGGCACATGATCACATGATATATTATGAGATTAGGTAGACAATTAGAAGCGTTTAATATGCGATTAGTTTCTACAGTTATTGTTGTTGTTGTTGTTGTTTGCGGTTTATTCGGTGTTGGAGCATGAGCCTAGTTTAAAATTGTAATTTACAAAACTCAATCGAAAATCAAAAGAAATTTCGTGTGCTTGTGTGTGTACAGAAAGCTCTGGCAAGTATCAAGATGTGAGTCCTTTCAGCAAATTCTCTAGTAACTGAGTGCGTATACGTATGTGCGCATATGTTGGCTTGTATGTGTGCGTGTGTGTGTGTGCTGTTGGTTAAAATGTTTTGCGGATCGGAGCTCTTTCGATAAGAATCGATTCGGGTGCGATAAGATTAGGTCGGAGCTAACGTTGCATCTTTGAACCAAGCAAAAGGTTTTGCAATATATATAATATATATATAAATATATATACATATATTTTTTTTATTTTGTTAAGTAAAAGTTCTCATATATACAGTGGCTAATTTGATTGGAAAACTTTATCGATAGACCTCAATTGAAGTGTTGCACAGTTTTTGGGCTATCTCGAGAGATAATCTTGTTTAGCTGATCAGAGAAAATTGAGAAAATTGGGGAAAATCGTTTTCAACTCGCGACTAAATCATTCCAATTTACCATTCACAGTCAGCGCGGCCTGCCTCTGCGCCACGCCCACATGATTGCTGGCCGTGCAGCTGTAGTTGCCGGCATGATGAGCCTGCGCCTGGTTGATCAGCAGCAGACTCGAGTGCTCGCCCACCGTTGCCTGCGTGACGTACGCATCGCCAGCGTTGTCGTCGTGCAGTGCCCGCCCATTGAGCCGCCATTCGAAACGAATGGGCGTGGCACCGCGAATGGCAATGCACGTCAGCTGCACATAGTCGTTGACATTGGAAACGGACGTGGAAAGCGACAGAGCGGCCAGCAACGGAGGCTCTGAAGATTGGATCGATCACAGCCAGTGGGGAAAGGCAATCGGGTTTATATTTGCAATGTTGAGAAATCGGCAATCAAGAGATTAGTTGAGCTCTTAGCAATTAACAAAATTTAATACTCATATATCAAGTTCGTTGCCTAAGTCTTTTGATTTCAGATTTCAACTATTTTCTTTTAGGGGCACAAAATATGAGAAAATAAAAAACTATTTACATAATTGTGTACACTACTGAAGCTGCTTGGAATACCCTTGACTTTCAGTATGGACCAGCGACTGGCCAGACCCGCCGCATTGCTGGCCACGCACGTGTAGTTGCCCGAGTCGCTGATGGCCGTCTGGCGCAGGGAGAGGATGAGCGTGTACTCATCGATCTTGTGGTAAATGGAACGCAGCAGGGGCTGTCCGTCTTTCAGCCAGAAGATGTCCATGGGCAGATCTCCGGAGGTGACCATGCACATGACTCGCACCGCTTGGCCGCCGTTGACGCCGTTGGCATTGAAGTGGAACTGCTCGATCTGAGGCAGCTCTGAGCGGGGGAGGGGACGACACACAGAAAAGCCGTGCATGAATATCGAGTGTTATTTTACAAAATTTGTGCTCGTGCAAACCGACACCAGGGCAGAGAGAGAGAGACACACATAGAGAGAGAGAGAGAGGGAGACAGTCCGCCATAACTTGAGAGTGGGCAATAATTTACAGTTGCTGCTGGAGCTACAACTACCAGGCCAGGCCAAGACATAATGCTGTACACAAACAAACTGTAAACAAACCCTTGACACTGAGCTTCGACTCGACGGTCGTGTAGCCGGCCCCATTGGCGCCCATGCAGGTGTAGGTGCCCGTATGGCTGCCCTGCACGCTCTCAATGCTCAGCGAGCTGCTGCGCCGGCTGTGCATCAAAATGTTCACGCCCGGCAGCTCCCCGGCCGGCCGCCCATTGTAGTACCAGGTTATATTGAAGGGCGCATCGCCGTGCAGCACGGCGCAGGACAGCTGATAGTAGTCGCCCACATAGAGCGGCGAATTGAGCGCAAGTGGCGACAGTTTTGGTGGCACTTTGAAGCAGAAAATAAAAAATATAATACAAAAAAACAATAAAAATGAAAATAAATAAAAAAAAAAAACTAAAAAATTGAGATGAGACTGGAACAGCTAGAGGGACACAGGTCAGACTTTATTTCTGCTCTCCCAAAGACCTAAACACGGAAGTTGCCCCATCATCGCATGAAATCTCACGTAAGATGTATTTGTTGTTGTTGTTGTTAATTGGTGCATGCAAGCCTTTGCGGTGCGACTAGCTGACATTTGTGCACTGAGAGTAAGAGCAAAAGAGCGCAAGAGACAGACACAGTGAGAGTGAGAGAGAGAGAGAGAGAGAGACAAGGATGTAGACATGCAGCCAAGAGAGAAGAGAGTAGACGCATTTGATTAGTATCAACAAACTACTAAGGATCAGGAACAGATTATTGGCTCGTATAGCTAACCGTAGACATTGAGCAGCGTTGTGAAGCGCTGTTGCCCGGCCAAGTTCTTGGCGTGGCAGGTGAAATTGCCAGCGTGCGGCGCCTCGACGGACTCAATGGTCAAGACGCTGCTGCGGCTGCCAACGGCCAAGGTGCTGATGCCCAGCCGCTCGTCAATGGACTGGCCGTTCAGCGTCCATTCGATCTGCATGGGCAGATCGCCCAGCGGCACGGAGCAGTGCAGCGTCAGGTACTGGCCCACCTGGGCGGGGCCCTCTTCGAAGGCGAAGGGTGTGATGCGAGGCAAAACTAAATGCACGAATGGGAAAAATAACCGAAATGAGGAACAAAAAAAATCATAAATGAAAACTGTTTGCGGTAATTAAAGAAATAACTGTGAGTGAATATATGAATGTAGACCTATGACCCTCAGCTGGGTGCTGTAGGAGACCTTGCCGGCGGCATTCTCGCCGTGGCAACTGTAGTTCCCGGCATGCTTGGCCGCCACACTCTCGATGGTCAGGACGCTGCTGCGCCTGCCCAGCTTGGCGATGAGTATGTCCTGGTCGTCGTCATTGAAGAGCGGCTGCTTGTTAAATGTCCAGCGTATGTTCAGGGGCAGGTCGCCCTCGGTCAGGGTGCACTGATAGGTTATATACTGGCCCAGATGCGTGGGCTGAGCGCTCGTGGCAAAGGGCGTTATTTGGGGCGGTACTTTGGGGTGGCATGAACACGGGAGTACAGAAAACAAATCAAACATGGCACAAATCAACTACAAAAACCAATAAAAGCTACAAATTAATCAGATTCAGAGGCAGTAGTTGGCCAACCGTTAACTATCAGCGCAGCGGTATATTCCACGGTCTGGGCGCTGTTGCGCGCCCGGCAGGTGTAGTTGCCGGCATTGTTGCCATTCACGGAGTCGATGGTCAGTACGTTGACTTTCTTGCCGATTTTGGAGGTGGTCACGCCGTGGTACTCGTTGATGGCATAGTCATTGAACAGCCAGTAGATGTCCACGGGCAGGTCGCCCTTCGAGATGGTGCACTGCACGGTCACCGAGTCGCCAAAGTTCGCTGGCTCGTCCCCGAACTCGAAGGGCGTGATATGGGGCGGCACTTTCGATTGGCATAGAATCAAATGCATTGGAATGTAGTTAAGGCTGGTGGGTGAGGGAGGGGTAAGGGATGCAAGAGTTTGTTGTACCCGCAAGTTTGTTGCCTAAGTCATTTGATTATCGAAGCCATACACAATTCACAAAAGCCAAAAGCAAACATGCATATACATATATCTATATCTGTGTTGGTGTGTGAGATTTACAATTACATCGGTGGAAATGATAAGAGAGAGACAGAGAAATACTAATAAAACAAACGAAAAATTGTCATTCAAGTGCTGTACAAATCCCGCTGTACCATTGACAAAGAGCTGGGCCGTGTAGACGGCGGAGGCCCACAGATTTCT